TCTCCAGTTAAAAGCATCAAGTAGGCGCCGGTCACACGGGAGGTTTTGGGACAGAAGAGGGACGGATCGGGGGTGCAGAAAACGGGCGCGAGCACACTGTAACATCTGGGAATCAGCATGCACCCGTCCCCGATCCGTCCCTTCTGGCCTAAAACTTGCTGCAAAAAAACCCCCAAGTAAAAGGTAGCACCAACCTGGAACGGCGCAGTAAGTGCAGCCGTGAGATCGCCAGCGCGCCCATCTGCAGGAGCAACCGAGGCTCCCGGCCGAACTGTGCATGTGCACACATGCGCAGTTCAGCTGCCTCGCTCTCCCTGCAGTGGCTTCCCCCCGGCATCTGATCGTGCCGGGGAGCAACTGCGCAGCGGCTCAGGGGATCTATCTGATCCCGCCGCCGCGTGTCTCTTTTGGTGCAGCTTTTCCCCCGTGTGGCAGGGGCCATAATAGGTGATAGGAAAGACCCCTACCTGAGTCCCTTGAGAGTCGCTGCCAATCTAAGTAGATGATACAGACCTTGATGTACTGATGGTCTGATTCAGTATAAGGCAGCTTCATGTATGGTTAGGCTGGCCCTGTAACAGGAAAGGGCTTTCAAGTCTGAAGTACCTCTAGACAAACATGAACCCCGGCATCTCTTTTTAAAAACTAAGCACTAAATATATCTGCAAAGCAATGTCCCATGTTAGTTTGCTAAATTAACCCCCAGCTGTCACAGCAAACGGTAAAACTTCACAGGTGACAACACTATTTTCTGCTAAATTTCTGATAAGCACCTAAAATGGTGTGCTTGTGGTGGGAGAGCAACCTCTCTGTAAATAAAGCAGAATAAACTATCAAGCACCAGCTTCAGCACAATAGTAGCTCTCTGAGCATGGACGCTCTTTCCTCTGTTTTTCACTGGATGTTTGTACTACAATTTCAGTCTTTGTGAATCAGGTCTGAAATTTCTCCTACCCCCCCCCCCTCTCAAAAAAGCAGGATGGCCAGAGGAATTAACTTGAGCACAACTCCTTTTTGTTTAGCAAACACAGTCTAGAGATCCTGGCAGTTGTGTATCATCCACATTTACTATTTGTTTAAACTTTTAAAACCATCATTAGTGGGTAGGACAAGTTTCCACAAAAATATTCTATTTAAATAGTGTTTGTTTTCAAAATAGAACAGAGGGTGGCTGGGCAATGAGTTGTTGTAATGTGATGGGAGATAAAAAGGCCACTGGACTACATCCAAGACTGCATGGTTTGTTGCATTGGAATGAATGGTTGAGAGAAGACGGAGAATACCACAGGTTTGGATCACTGTACTTTCGATTTGTAATTTATTCTGTATTTGGAACTGAATGGCTTGGGGGAGGCAGCTCAAAGGCTGTTAGGTGGCTTGAATTGGAGAAGAAAGTTATGTATGTTCCAACTGTCCCCATGCTTGGCTTCAGCAAAATACTCCCCCTATTTTGTTATTTGCTGAGATGTTAAGAATGCTTTAATTTTTTTTTATTTATGTGTGCAAGCACATACAGAAAGAGTTCTTCAGGGACCAGACCTCACCATACTCCCTCCCTAGAAGTTACATCTCTAGCAGGAGATTCTTCCCAGTAAATAATGAAGTGTATATTGTGCTCTGTCATGGACCTTACCCTCTATATTTATGTTTAGCTATGAGATGAGAGTAAAAAGTGTGGAAGAGTGTCCTGGAAGTTATTTTTAAAAATAGCAGGAAGCTAACTCTTTCCCCCCAAATTGATTGCAAATATTATAAAATAAAGTGTTTTAGAAGAAAAGAGGAGAAAACAAATGGGAATTTTTCAGCCAAAGGTGAAGCCGCAAACTCCATTCAAGTTAAAATACATTTCTTCCCAAGAAAAGTCAACCATATTAAACTAGGCATGAGCTCTGAAGTAGAAACTAGAATTCAAGGAAGATGGGAACTTAGGGAACAAGAAGTTGCCTGGCAGTAAAAATGGCAAAAACGTTTATTTTGGAGCCCTCAATGAGAGACAAAAGAAGATAATGCTGACCACCTTCTCATTTATTGCTACAGAGAGGACATAAAGGTTTGCATCTTGATTGAGATACAAGGGTGCCTTTTCCTGGACCAAATGGGTGAGAAAACAGCCTTGGAATTTTGCAAAAATTAGAGTGGGCTGATGTTTCATACAAACAATGTTTGATTAACTGTGGGTGCAAGTAAATAAAATCCATAGAAACAATCCACTAACTATCTAGCATTTTTATGAAACAAAAAAGAGGGTAAAAATTTAATCACATTAACATGTTACTCTCATGAGTAACTTGTGCCTCTGTGTCCTCAAAAAGCAGTAATTCGCACACTATGTAAAAAGGAGGTATCACAAGTGTCAGCCATATTTGTAAACATAGATGTACCTTTAGTTCATCATTCTGGTCCCAAGAGAGACTTGCATGCTGCTAATTCATAAATTACATTTGCCCCATGCTTTGAAGTGGAGTAACATTCACATTAATACCAGGGAAATGTACAATACAAATTGATAACAGCAATTACAGGAGGCAGTAATGAACAGAGAACTGGAAAGTATTGAATGACTTCATTTTAAATTAAAGTGATACGGACTTCAATTGTTGGGGTCTACTGATTGCATTTTAGTACAAAGATTCTGAAATCAAAGATGAGTTATATCGGGGAAAATATTTTTAAATGAATTGTGCAGGTTTTCTTTAATCTTAATTCACCAATTTCTTTAATCTTAATTCACAAGTAATTAGAGACCTAGCTGCAGTTACAAAAAGGTCAACTAAACCCAAATTTTAACACAAAGTATCTGATTATGAATAATTATTTACCATTCTCGTTTTCTGAAATGTCAGTAATTCTCTCCAAGAGACATCAGTATGAAAATTGGAAAAATAATGGCAATTCAACAAAAAGGCATTTCTGGATGATCTAGCTGAAGGACAGTTTTATTGTCATAAAAGGGCGGGAAAGGTGATTAACATCCTTATTCTATTTTCAAGAGTTTTTTTCTGTGTGGATACTTATTTCCACCAACAGGGGGCTCACTCTCCCCCAACAGCTTTTCCTACATAGTCAGTAGACTTCCTGGATTTGTAGAAAAATCCAAAAACTAAAAAAATCCCTTCAGGGATGGCTGAATTCCCCCCAAAACCTTTTGAAATGGCCTCTGCAGGGATCTGCTTCAGGCATCAACAGTGAGATATTAAAATGTTCGGGGGGGGG